TCTAAACAGTCTTCGAATACTTGCAGCTCTCGTTTGTTGCAGTTTTGGCCGCTGTTGTAGCTGTAGGAGTAGCAGCAGTAGCTGTAGCAGTAGCAGTAGCTGTAGCAGTAGCAGTAGCAGTAGCTGTAGCAGTAGCTGTAGCTGTATCAGTAGCAGTAGCAGTAGCAGTAGCTGTAGCAGTAGCAGTAGCAGTAGCAGTAGCAGTAGCAGGTAGCAGCAGTAGTAGTAGTAGTAGTAGTAGTAGTCATAGTAGGAGTAGTCGTAGTAGTAGTAACAGGAATAGTAGTTGTAGTACTAGCACCGCTAGTAGTACCAATAGTCAGCTCGCAACACCCGTTTCCGCCCGATCCGAAACCGCCCGCTGGCTGATCCGAAGCTGACCGGGGGTCGATCCGAAATTGACCCCCAGCCCCGAAACTCACCCGCTCGGATCCGAAACGAAACTACCCCCATGTCGATCCGAGACTAGAGCCCCGAAACTAGGGGTACCCATTGCTTTAAGGTTTAGGGTTTCGGGATCTAGGGCTTAGGGTTTAGAGTTTCGGGATCTAGGGCTTAAGTTTTGCAGCGTCTGCGGTTTCGGTTTTGGGTTTTGGGATGCCTTGGTGCATGTTTAGGGGGACTTCGGGTTTAGTTGGCTTTGGGCATTTGTTTAAGGGTTTAAGGGGCTTCAAGGCGTTGGCTTGCGATCCCAGAAACTCCAATAAATCCCCTGGATGACAGAACATGATTTAATTGTTATAGGAATCCACATAAAATTAAGGGTGTATTATTTGCTTAACGGGGTTTTGGGGTCTCCGGGGTTATGGTTCCGGGCGAGCCCAGTCCACTTGCAACCGGGGCTTTGGGGCCTACCTGAACCCCAAATACAACCATGTTTTGCAGGACTTAGGTCATGTTAGGGAACCTTTTAAAAAAGGGTAGGTTTCTTAGGGCTCAGCTGGGGTTTACCTTAAACGCCAGATCCCCCAAGACCTAAACCCTGGCCCAGAAGCCCTACGCTCTGCAGGGGTAGTACCCGTTAAAGCCCAGCTGCCTTGATAATGCATCACTACTTGCACCCGGCCACCACACAGGAAACTGGTGTTCGTTCGGCTACGCTAAACCCTACTTAACTAAGCGATGCTCGATTCAGGGATCATGGCTTTTCTGCATGCGAGCATCGCGGTCTTGTTGACCTTGCGGGTCCGATAGTCCAAGCAGTAATTAGTTTTGGATGCAAAAAAGTGCTCTGACCATAGAGCCCTAAGCCAAAATTCCTAAACTATGCTGTTGATGGTACAAATCCGGCATCACCTTAAGGAGCCTAAACGATGGGAATTATGGTGTTTTCCTGATTATGAGTGCTGGGATTGATATCATCAACCGTAGTACTTGGGACCTGAGACTTTACTTCTTGACTACTTGGAACTTCCCGGTCAGGATGCATGTTTCTGTTTTTGATTCTAACACCCTCAAAACTTACACCAGACCTTTAAGGCGGTTTCGTGTGCATAAGATCATGATACATCGACTCGTGTGTATACATGCATGCAAGCATGCATTACATGCATGCACGTTCATGTGTACAAGTATCAGTAAACCACCTAGAAAAACTATATATAGATAGATAGACAGATAGAGAGAGATATATGTATACAATTATGCACACATATACATGTGCATATGTATATATATATATATATGTAGGTAGAGAGGGAGAGAGAGTTTGATTTGGATTTATGCTTACATTTTCATTTACATGCATGCAGGGCCGGAGGGATGGTTGTTTGATGGTTTAAGGTTTAGAAAATTGGGGGTTTAGGGCCTAGCGGGATTATTTTTTTAGGGCTTAGGTTTCCATGGTTTACTGCTTTTCAGGGCTTGGGTTTCAGGGTTTAGCGAGTTTAAAGCCTGACATCTAAACCTTCAACTTTAAAGTCTCGTCTGAAACAAGACGTTCCGGAGGACCATTCTGGCTGACGGAAAAAGGCGTTCGAACAAAAAAACCTAAACCCTAAACCCTAAAGCCTCGGAGGAGAATGCCCTGGGATTTTCGGCTTTGAAAGGCATCGCGCAAGAGGCTTCGGCTCAGAGTTCGGGACTTTGTTTACGGTTTAGGGGTTTAGGGGTTTGGGGTTTGGGTTTAGGGCTTGGGCTTTCGGGTTGAAGGTTTTGGGTTTGTTGACGACTCAGGGTTCCGGGCTCAGGGTCTTGCGGGTGTAGACGCGCGGCCCTGGGCTTGAGGGCTCTGGTTTGGGGTTTCCGGGAGTACACAAGATATCTGGGGTTTAGGGTTTAGGGTTTAGGGGAGTCAACCCAGGCCCCTCCCATTTTGTTTGAGCGGCTGCCGTTCAAATCGCCAGCTTTTCCGGAATGCTTCTGCCATTCTGGCAGTTGGTGTGGACCTATAGAGGTACATTAGCTTCAAAACTTCCGAACGACCTGCATAGGTCAGAAAATCCTGTGGGTCCCGCAAAGGCACCATGAACAGAGGCGCAGCGGTACCCTCATGCACAGTAGTTGCAGGGAGGTATCCCGAACCCCTAAAGCATTCAAGGTCTGCATCATCACCAACTCCTCACTCCCTAGCCTAAAGCCTGACCTTGAGATGCTGTAAGCCCAGAGCCCTAAACCGTTTAATTTAAATGTTTCTTATTCTTGGAAGGTTTAAACAATCCAAGGGTCCAAGTTCTCAAGTAGTCCGTAAACCATTCAGAGCACAGTATTCGGGACCTTGAACTCCTCTGGGGCTACTTGGATCCTTTACAGTTAGACGTTGATGACCTTCATTTGGGGAATGTCAGCACATCAGGAACCCTCATGCAGACGCTAGTCTAAGATCGTAAGGATCGCCCCAAAGAAAAGGCACCCCTCGTTTTACGAACACTTTCGGCTAGGCTCCTAAGTGTCAAGCTGCCAGGTCGAAAGGGAAGCGTCAGTCGGGGACCCGCGCGAGGACTTTTGGGGTTAAAAGTTTGTGGATAGGGTTAAAGTTTAGGGCTGGGGCCTAGGTCGCAACTATCGTTGTGGGTGTAGGGAGTACAGGGGTTTAGTTCAGAAGCTTGAGGCCCAGTTACGTAGATGGTGTACGAACGCCTCAAACCTAGGGGCCTTAAAGGCAGCACGAACATGAGGATCTTTCAAGTAAGCTTATTCGGATTTCCCCTGATAGGGGCCATGCTACCATGACTGTATGATAAACGCCAGACAACCAGCATTGGGATGCCTATTCCTGTCTAACTCGCCGCTGAGGAAGGAACCTTAGTGCCCTTTTAGTTCGAAAAAAGCGGTATGCCTACAGTCCTTATCCAGGTCTTGCAGTCGTTCTTATCTGTCCCTTAGACTTGCCGGACCTTTATAAGAATGCTCGAGCACTCAGGGAGGCTGTTGCACACAGGTCGAATCCAGCACTGAAGCCTAGACTTCAGCTTCGATGTTGAAGTCCAAAAACCCTAGACCCCACAGGGTTTAGGGTTTGGGGTTCAGGAGTGTAGGATTTATGGCGTAAGGTATGGGGCCGAACTGCCACAGAAGAGGTGCTAAACACAAACTGAATGGCCAGTGAGGTACCCTGAGGCCTGTAGTCTGAACTTGTTGCTGTCTTTGCTGCTCGCAGGACTGTGGATCAATTGTTGACGAGATCTCTGTGGAAGGAAGGGCTCTCATGCCAGTGTTGATTTAGGATGTGCAAACTTTATTGCCACCTTCCTGCTGCAACAACTTCTTTTGCCTGTGCATATAGATAAACGACATTCCGAGGGAAAGAGAGAGACAGAGAGAGTCAGCTTCACAGTGCCAAGAATCCACCCGAGCAGCACGTCAAGTGCTTGTCACATAGCTATACGATGCTGCAACATTGCAGAAGATCTGAGTACTTCGCCATCGTGTGCTAGCTCGGTGCTTGCTCGGTCCCTCAGTAGTACTTTTGTGTTGCTGTTGACAGTCCATAGACAACGGGACAACATGTACAAGGGTAGCACTGTGGTGAAGGATTACAGGGAAATGGAGCGTGTATACCTGTACATCGAACTTCAAGCGAACCACGAACCATGTCGGCAAATGCAACATAGAAGCCTCTGTGACCTTAAACCCTAAACCCTAAACCCTAAACCCTAAGCCGTTGCTGCAGCCAGATGGGGCTCCGATGTTTTGAATTGCGAGTGACTACTGAGCCACTACTCAGCATGGGTCTGAATAATTGCACTCTCTTTTATAGGGGCCGAAGTAATTACCAGACCTTTTCTGGGGCTCCTTATTGTAATTCATTCGTTAATTCTGGTACTATACACCCCAAAACCCTTTTCAAATTCTGAAGGCCCCCTATCTTAGGCCCCGAGAGCCTGGCATCCTTGTATCAACTAGCACGGCTGATTGAGCACCGCCGACCATGTCCGCCAACGCCCTCGATTCGGAGGTCTCCATGGGCGTTTCTCGCGGCATGAGGATAGTTCTCTAAAGTGGGGTCCGATTTGGGATCCTTTTTATTTTAGGGTGCCGTACAAGTTGGGGACCGAAAAACTACCCATGAACTTTCCCAGGGATCTACAAACAAACTTCGTATGCATGTACCTGCCTGAGCCTTTCGGCGCATGTGTGCATGCACGTAGATGTATGTGCTTATGTACGTATGTACGTATCGTACACGTATGTATGCATGTATGTATTTATGCATGTATGCATGTATGTATGTATGTATGTATGTATGTATGTATGTATGTATTATGTATGTATTATGTATATGTATGCATGCATGCATGCATGCATGCATGTATGTATGTCTGTATGTATGTATGTATGTATGTATGTATGTATGTATGTTTGTATGTATGTATGTAATGTCTGTATGCATGCATGCATGCACGTATGCATGCACGTATGTATGTATATGTATATGTATGTATGTACCTATGAAGTAGGCAGGCAGGCAGGCAGGCAGGCAGGTAGGTCGGTAATTAGGTAGTTTTGTATACAGACTTCTACAGATGCATGTTTATGTGAAGGCATGCTTTATTGGCTTTGTTGCTACAGCTTCTTGTGCTTTGAGCTGCATTCGCTCTCAAAACCTTCGAAGCCACAGGAACCAACCCCCCCCAAGCTTCAACCAAACTGCGTGAGGGGGGATAAGGATTTGGGGCATGTAGGGTTTAGGGTAGGATCTAAACCAATGTCCATTCGATGTGTTTGGTGTTTGTCCCGTTCTAGTCGCAGAGAAATTGGGCCAAATACGAACACACCAAAGGAGAAGAGCCCCAAAAACATGCCCTTGCGCCTAAGACCAAGCCCTAGATTTCACACTCCCAAGACTGAGTTTACGGTCTCAAATACCCTCCTAGCAGCCTTGCCGAAACCTTTACCGGAGAGCTCTTTACGTGCCTTAAATCCCGCTTTGCCGTTGCATCCTTGAAAGGCTCAAAGTGATGACTGGCTAACTTTGCTTGACACCTGAGCTGGCCGGAAGTTTCAGGGGGTTTTAGGACGAGAGAGAGAGGATAGCCTGTGAGGAGATGTACGTGTGTGTGTGTGGGGGCTAAATGGAGGTTGTTCTGGACAAGAGTTGCCTTCAAGATAGATACGAAGGTGTTCCTCCGAACCGGGGGTTTCATAACAGAACGGCCTCCAAGCGTTTCGGGCTTTGCTCTGGGGGAAGAAGCGCAAGGCAAGACGGCGTGTGTGAGAACCAAAACTCACTGCAATAAGGTTGTTCCCAGAGACTCCAATACCCCTTAATTAAGGAATATACCTTAAATTATAGTAGGATCCCGAATAAGATTTAAGGTATATTCCTTAATTAAGGGGTGCTGGAGTCTCTGGGTTTGAGGGTTCTGTAAGGTCTGTGCAGTTTTTGGTAGGGGACCAGGCATCGTTACGAATGATTGATGTAAGGTTCTTTAAGGGTTTTGTACGGGTTTTTAGTCACATGATTGTAATCTGCAAACCCAAAGGGCCCTAAGTACCTATATGGTAGAGTTTAGGGGTTAGGGTTTAGGGGTTTAGGGGTTTAGGGGTTTGGGGTTTAGGGTTTCCATAATAATATGAGCTATTATTATGTTTTGGGCAAGTATCCCCCATGGAGGTACTTAGGACTCGTTGAGAAAGGCCTGCAATCCATGAAGCCCGAAACATCTAACATGGGGGCCTTCCTAATTACCTACACTCTTTTGGGGTTCCTCACTATACATAGAGTATAATATTCCCCAAAACCCGATTCGAATAGTTAAGGCCCCCACATTAACCTCCAAAGGCTTGCAATTTATAAAGCCCGGAACATGAAACGAACCAAATGCTAGACCCTTGCGGCACTACGCTATAGTCTCCATTGTAGTTTTTTGCATGGCGTAACCGACTTTATTGTCAGGATCCTATTTGCTAACCCCCAAAACGAAAGACAATGGCGACTGCAGGCACTTTAGTCCTAGGTAGTACTAGGGAGACCCTTCAAAGGGGGCCCTTCTGAACCCTACTTGTGGCTCTTTTGTTTCGGGACCTTATTGGGAGGGTCTATATCCCCAAGGGCCCCCTAATCCTAACTCCCATATAGCCGTACCCTAAGGCTCAAAATGGCCCAAAAGCCTTATATGGTATGGTGCCCTAACATATGAGCCCTTAGAGCCTTAGGGCTAATCCTAACTCCTAAACCCTAAACCCTAAACCCTAAACCCTAAACCCTAACTCCTATATAGGCAAGAGTTGACCTGCTTAGGATGGCGCGGGTTCCGCGGCTTTGTTCCATTCTTGCTTTCGCTGTAGTACATTCCGGAAGTCCTAAACCCCAAAACCCTAAACCCTGAAAGCCCTAATATAGGGGCCTTCATAATTAGGAAGGGTTTGGGGATGGAGGGTATAGGATCTAGAGACTTTCCTGAACCCTGCATCTTTATGCCTCAACATCATAGATCCCTGCTTCGGCCCGACAAGCCAGCAACATCGTGCCGATCGAGGAGGTACCGGGTTTTAGCTAGGGAAGCTCGCTATTTCTTAAGTACATTCAGTCTGCTTAACCTAGGCCGAAATCGTTAATCTCTAAAACGCAAATACGGTACTACTATCCCCTTATAAATCGTATACCCCACGACACCACTATGGTGTTATAATCACCCCGTAGTTCAGTCAAAACTCCAGTCGTTCTCCTTGTTTTTTTGTCGCTGGGACATGTGGGGCTGAGCTTTAGTCCGCTACCGAGACCGAGACATCCCACGGCTCAAGCAGGTCGTTGTGGCGCCACATACTGTAGGGGCCTTAACAATTAGAATACGGTTTTGGGTCCTTTTATACTATAATCAGAATAAGGAGCCCCTAAAATAGTAGTGGTAATTATTTTGGCCCCTGCATTACATGCCCATGCGATTAGCTACTCTATAAAGAAGGCTGAGCGATGTATGACAGTCTAACACACATGATGTGCTATCGATCCTTTTCGAGATCGAGCGTACACTCTCGAGCAACATGCATGTAGACTTATGTATTGCAACAAGCTAGCCTGCAGGGCACTGCCCAGGTCTGCGACACCCGCGGCTCCGGATTAGCTTGCCACTCCAAATGCTACGCAATGGTAGGTTGTGACCCTCATGTTGGGCACCGCCCTCAACAACAGTGGGAAGTTCGAGCTCCAGGTGGAGGATAGTGTCTGATAGTTCAGGGGCCTAAACAATTAGTAATGCCGTTAATGCGAGTTCCCTATTAAAAGTACATTGTACATATAAGTTTTATATACCCCAAGACGCGACTGTAATTGCAAAAGCTTCTCTATAATAACAGACTCATGACTGCCTGCCTCTGACGTGCACGGCGTATACACGAAGAGCTCCCTGCAGCCATGGGGAACTCGCAATGCTGCTGCGATGAAAACGATGCGAAGGAAGGCCTCCATGATCCTGCCCTAAACCTCGCAGGTTGGTGGTACAGGCTTTGGGGTTCAGATTTGTACGGAAGCCCTAAACCCCTAAACCCTAAGCGCTAAACCCTGAACTCTCAGATTTGATGTCAAAACAGAGATCAGGATTAGATTTGCGATCTGCTTATGCAAAGGGTGAGGTCGCCATGTCATCGAGTCATCTCAGTGGTGTGGGTCTGAGCTACCCTGCGCTCGCGGTTTCTGACGTATCACAGCACTGAGGGCCCAAGTACCGTCTTGGAGATTCTGATTGCATAAGTCGAGGGTTGTCATGAAATGCAGTACACAACCCTAATCCTCTAAACCTAAATCCTGTAAAACTCCCAAAGCCTAAACCCTAAACCTCTAAACCTAAACCCTATAAACCTCCAACCTCCAGCATCTTCGGGGGTCGCTTCGGTGTCTTGTGGGCATACTATCGAAGCCTTGTTGGTTAGAGCAGGTTCCTTAGGCGGGGTACTTTGAGGCTTCCCTTGAGCGTTAATAACAGTTCTCTAAGACAGCAAATGAAAAGACAAAGTAGCATAGATAGGGGCCCTGAGAACTAAAATAGAGATTTGGGTTGGATGCTGCCCCAACTCAATCAAGTAGAACAATGTTTATGTAAAAGATTTCTACGGCCCTCAATGGTAGCCATATTCTACAGTGTGACCTCATAGTCAGAATAAGGTTTTTTCTTTGGGGTGTACATTATCCTAAACCCTAAACCCCTAAACCCTAAACCCCTAAACCCTAAACCCTAAAACCCTAAATCCTAAACCCCTAAACCCTAAACCCCTAAAGCCCTAAAACCTTAAACCCTAAACCCTAAACCCCTAAAGCCCTAAAACCTTAAACCCTAAACCCTTAAACCCTAAACCCCTAAACCCTAAACTTCTAAACCCCTACATCATCAGGCCCAGG